GCACTCGCTGCAAGCCAGACGCCTCCTAGGAGGGTTTAGGGTTTAGGGTTTAGTGCTCAAGGGGCTGAGAGTTTAGGATGTAGGCTGAAGGGTTCAGGTTTCATCGTGGTACTCTGGAAAATACAGAGCATTCTGCAGTGAAACAACGAGGCACGCAAAGACAAACCCAGAACGCCTAACAGAAATGAGACTGCCGGCTGCTATACCCCTAAACCCTAAACCCTAAACCCTAAAACCTAAACCCTAAAACCTAAACCCCAAACCCGAAACCCTAAACCTTGAACCCCAAACCCTAACAACCTAAACCTTAACCCCCAAACCCCAAAAACCTAAACCCTAAACCCCAAACCCTCAACCCTAGACCCTAAAGCCCTAAAACCCTAAACACCTCAACCCTAAACCCCAAACCCTCAACCCTAGACCCTAAAGCCCTAAAACCCTAAAAACCTAAACCCCAAACCCTAAAACCCGAAACCCTAAACCCTGAACCCTAAATACCTCAACCCTAAACCCTACAAACCTAAACCCTAAGTTACCTTATTTCCATGCCTCGGCTCCACCTTTGTCTTCGGCTTCGGCAGACACTTCGGCCGCTGCGGCTGTGGCATCCTCCCAGGAGGATAGGGTTTAGGGTTTAGGGTTTAGGGGTTCTTTTTGGGAATTCCCCCACAAAGGATCCTAAATAGAAGCAACAAAAAGGAACTACTATGGGGCCTATGGAAAAGTCCAGAGGTTAGGGCTCCGCAGCGCCGTAGGGTTTCAACCCAAGACGACTTTAGAGTTTAGTGTTTAGGGTTTCAACCCAAGGCTACTTTGGGGTTTAGGGTTTAGGGTTTGCCGAACATCATACAGAAGGCGCTTGAAAAATGTCAGCTCCTATTACGCCGTAAACCTTGTATAAGCCGTCGGTAGGGTTTAAAGTCACGAGAAGATTACCTAGACCTCCGGCCCGTCTATTGTACCCGTAGGGGTCTTCGTAACTCTGATTAGATTCTGGTGTAAAATATGCCCCCATGACATCCGGGAACCCCGAGGAATAGTATTACATACCACCATATCTGCTTCAATAAAAAGCCCTAAGGAATACAAATAGCACGGAACATTACGGTGTTCTATTACTAGACACCGTTTAAAAGGAAACCCTAAGTCATCGTATAGATTTCGTATAGTCATCATTCACGTCCGAAAAATGTCCTGGTAGGCTTTCTGTTGCCAGGGGGAGGGGCTTCCAGGCTCAGACCTCCTGAAGTTTGAAAGTGCCGTCAGCCCTAAACCCTAAATCCTGGTTTAGGGTTTAGGGTTTAGGGTGTAAGGTTTAGGGTTTAGGGTTTAGGGTTTAGGGTTACTAAACCCTAATATTAAGGCTTCAAGGTAGAGCGGTTTGGGGTTCCTGCAAAGGCTCTTGTAACTGGAAGGTTTTTTGGGTTTCCTTTGGGGGTGAGAAGCTTCCTTGAAGGGCAGGGTTGGGGGTTGAGGGCCCGTGATTAATGTAGGGGCCTGAATAATTAGCATAGGGTTTTGGGCTTCTTTATAGTATATTTACAATAAGGAAGCATAATGTTGGTAATTATTTAGGCTTCAAAACAATTGAACTTCCATGCCTTAATCCGGATTATACTTGGGATCACAAAGTTAACGCTCTTACAGAGAGGGGTGCTATTAAAGCAGAGGCAGTTTGAAGCGTCAGGGGTCGAAGGCTCTTTAAAGGGTTGCTATGGAGCTTCGTTTTATGAGAGTTTGGCATTTAGCATTTAGGGCCCAGGGGTTGCGGTTTCAAGTTCTCGGTTAAAGGTTTTTAGGGGTTCAGGGTGTAGGCATTTAAGGCTTTTGCAGCTAGGCTTTGCGGCTTGGGTTTGGAGCGAATGAGCTACGTTGCGATTTCAGGACGTTGGGTATCGAATTGCGGCTATTAGTAGGAGCTATGACTCTACAGAGAGTGAAGACGATTCTTGTCGTTGAAGTACGAGCAATCAATGCAGAATCCTAGTCGACCAACCATCTTTCGCTGAGGGTCGTGCTTTGCCAATTGCAACTCTCGCTGGGCGAAAAAATGCGGGGTCTGCATGACCATGAACCCCATGATACGAGCACATCCCTTGCAAGCTGCACGAGTGCTTTGACCACTGATGTGACTACAATTCCGATCTTTCAGCCAAACGGAACGAGAAGCCATCCTCCCGAATTCGGTGTTAATGTGGGGGCCTTAAGGGTTTTGGGCTCCTGTACAGAATAACTGTAATAAGGAACCTAAAGAATATAACATAGGTAATTATTTTGGGTTCTATATTGGGGTTTAGAGCTGGGGATACTTTGCGCGCTGACGAAACAACCAAACTCCGCTGAAGGGGAAGATCGATCCGGGCATGAAAGCCTCAAACCGACCCCGACAAACCCTAAAACCATCAATAGAGTTTAGGGTTTAGGGTTTAGGGTTTAGGATTACTGCAAAGAGGACAGCCAATCCCTGGACCCCAAACCCTAGACTCCTTAAGCCCTAAACCCTGGACCCTAAATCCTGAGTCCTGAACCCTGGAACCTAAACCCTAAACGCCCTAAACCCTAAACCCTGAAGCCTAAATCCTGAGTCCCTAAACCCTGGACCCTAAACCGTGTTATAGACTCCCTAAACCCTAAACCCTAGACCCTAAACCCTGCACCCTAAACCCTAGACTCCCTAAACCCTAAACTATAAAGTGGACCTTGAGCCGGTCCGTGGCGCGGAGGGCGGCTGCCGCTTGACACCAGACTTCTGCTGCCCGTCCTCCTTCGAGGGTTTTAGGGGTTTGGGGTTTAGGGTTTAGGGTTTAGGGTTTAGGGGTTTAGGGTTTAGGGTTTAGGGTTTAGGACCAAGCTTACTTTCCCCATCCTCTTCTTTGCTTCAAGGCCGTAAGGTTTCGGCGCTACCCGTACCCGAAAATCAGAATATCTTGAGCCCATTTAAGGTTTTAGGGTTTTGGGGGTTTCCGGGCGTTGGGGTTTTGGGGTATAGGGCTTACCTTATTGTACCAAGACCTACCTCGTTGTAGGTCTCCGTAAAATCGCTGTAGGGTTCAGGTGTACCCGGTTGAACTCGCGGCAAACCCGGCGACGCCAGGCAGATCCGGTTTGTGGAGAGCCGGGCCTTTGGGTGTGGAGGGCCTTTTAGGGCTTGGGGCGTAGGGGTTTAGGGTTTAGGATTACATTTATTTAGGATCATTTAGGGGTTTAGGGTTTAGGGTTACATTTAAGGGTTTAGGGTTTAGGTTTACATTGGGTTTAGGGTTTAAGGTTACAGTCAGGGGTTTGGGGTTTAGGGTTCTTGGGGCTTTGGGGGCGAAGTAAATTCGAGGTTTTCGTGTCCGGGGCTTAGGATTTGCAGGGTTTTAGCTTCAGGTTTCGGGAGATGGTGCTTGTGGTCGAAGCTGAGCCTGCATCGGCTTAGCATTCGTGCCATCAGATGAGCTGTCGCTAGGAAGGGCTGGTACAGGAATACTGCTAAATTAAGTAGGGGTTGGATTACCTAGTAAGATTACAACAAATATCCCGAAAGCCTGTTCTAATTACTAAGGCCCATATACTAAACCTGTATACCAAGCCTCTAGATTCTAGAACCCTTCCAAGAACCCTTATTGAATCGTCGTCAGCAGAGTGTAGGACCCTGGTAAAGCGCAGCTGTCTTTGTAGAACTAAGGGCGCGTGTCTTCGGGTTTGATGATTTAGGATTTAGGGTTCACGGTTCAGGGTTTAGGGTTCAGTCTTGAGGATACAGGGCTTTGGGTTCAGTCTTGCGGGATGGTTTAGGGTTTTGGTTTTTGGGGGGTGAAGGGATTGGAAGCATCTTCGTGTGCATGTCGAGGCTCTTGGAATCATACAGGTTTTCAGAAACTGTGTCTCCCGTAGTGTGAGGTTGAGGTTATACCCTAAACCCTAAATCCTAAGTGCATCTTACCTGTGGCAAGCTGCAGAATTTTGCAGAGTGGCAAAGACGGAAAAGTCCCAGAGAATTGGCAGTAATGTAGGGGCCACAATAATTAGAATAGGGCTTGGGGTTCCTTTTAAGGGTTCCTTAAAGGGTTCCAGAAGGGCTACTACACGGGTTTAGGGTGCAGGGGCCTTTAATAACTAGAATAGGGTTGGGGCCCGTTATGCTATAGTTATGATAAGGAAGCCTAAGGAATAACATAGGTAATTATTCAGGCTTCTATATTAGAAACGTTCGTGGTGCCCCACATCCTGGAAGCATAGCATCGTCTCATTGAGATCTTGCAGTTTTACAAAGTAACGGACCCTAATTCAGATGGTGAAATCGGTATAATTTGAAGCAACCCACCTCTATCTTCTTCCTGGGGTTTCCGGGCCACTTCTCCTGCGCATCGCTGGTCTCTTCACTCTTCTTCTGCTCGTTGTCCTCCTCCTGGTCTCGGTCTGCCCACTCTTTCCAACTCTTCCAATTTTCTTGGCTGCGCGTTTGCTCCTCCTCTTTCACCACCCAGTCTTTCCAGTCCCTCCACCTGTCCGCTTTTCTCCGGTCCTTCCAGTCCTTCTCCTTCCATTCTGCCCAGCCATTGTGCTGCTTTCCATCACCTTGGCGGCACGATGTCGAGCTCTGACTAAACTGTCTGGTTATAGGGGAATACCGCTCCACCCCAAACGCACGAGGCAATAGAGATAGACGCAAAGATGCGTCGGTATGAAGACAAAGAAACACTCCCACCCACACACACACACACATACATGTATATCTATGAATATGAATATGTGCAAATGACACACAGCATCTGGGAAGCACGCAAGACATCGCTACCAACATAACCAAAAATCGAATGTCTCGCACTCTCACTCTCCGTCTGCACACCAGAAAACAAACAAGTCAGAATCTAGAAATACGATATGTCAGCCTAATCTGCCTAAGTATTCATTACTTCCGTCGTTAACTAACTAACTAACTGACTGACTGACTGACTGACTAACTAACTAGTTAACTAACTAACTAACTAACTAACTAACTAACTAACTAACTAACGAAATGACTAAATAACTAACTAACTAACTAGCTAACTAACTAACTAACTAACTAACTAACTAACTAACTAATTTTATTAACTTAACTACTTGTAACTAAACTAAACTAAACTAAACTA